ACAGTGTTCTATAGGAGACAGATTAGCTATCAGGACGGTCCATTCAAGTCCTGCTAACTTAATCTGAGACGGACTAACAGATTAGAGTATTGATGGGTACCGCTCATGATTATCTTTAAAGGCAGTGACTGATTCCGGAGCTGTGGTTCTCGTTATGCACATTAATTAGAAGTCGTCCTCATTAGCAGACATTTCAACAAGCACCACTTGAAAAGTACTAGTCCTAACAAAGGAGCCGTGACTGTGAGAGCAGGAAAAACTTTGACCTGGAGTGGAAAGACGACAGATTGTTGCTCTGTGGTACAGAAGCGACTGTCATTTCTGCTGCTATCATTAGATGGCAGCAGACATCATATGAGGCAAATAATCTTATCTTGGTTTAGATTAATTCTTCTAATTTATATTATTTCGTCCAGCGTCCTACATCCAAGCAGTACTGAACCGGCCCGCCAGTCAAAATGTTGAACATCATTTTGAGCCAAAGAGTTTGCCGCGCCCCTTATCTTTATGTTGTTCTGGGATGTTGTTGTGTCAACAACATCAGTCTGGATCTGTGACGACAACAGGAGGAACATGTGCTCTGTGGGTGAGGGTGAATCTTTGCCCTCACCCCCGTCACCACCAGCCACAGGCCGGTACAGAACGGTTCTGTGTTCCAGTCACAGCTGCTCAGAGAGAAGCCGCTGATGTTTTCTGCTCCTCCATCATCTGTCAGACAGAGACCGGAGCGCCGTCTCCCACAATCACTGACACACAGCCGTCTTACCCTCTGTCTTCCACCCCCCTCGTCCCCCTTCTCCCCTGAATTGCCAGCATGTCTGCTGCCTTGGGGCTGGTGCGCTGCACATGCCCACTCCCGTCCCACCCTGTGGTGGTCCTGACTATATTTATTTCATCTTGAAAGGCAGAGCGCTGAATCTTTCATCTGTGGAAGCAGAACCTACAGTCACTGACTGGTCAAACAGCCACTGCTATATTCTGCCCCGCTGCTCCTACCCCCGCCCCCGGCAGCAGCTCAGGGCGTGGCAACCTAGTCAGCTCAGAGTTGGTGCAGCAGGCATTCATTCAAGTGCAGCACAGCGGACTGAGTGAAGGCACCATGTGTACGTGAACTGGTCCTAACCAGGGGTATATATAAATATTTCAGTACCATTTGGAAGAGTTCCTCATATAGGTCAAATATATGGGTCAGATGGAGCTAGAACTGTTTCCTACAGCACAACAGTTCTGTGCATTTGTGAAAACATTGTGTTGTAAAATCGGGACCACATGGTGACAGTGTTTAATGCCCCTGCCTTACACTAACAAGGTCCTGGTTTACTGGTTGGACCAGAGTGGAGTTGTACTTGGAATTCCATAAAAGGCATTTTTCACTAATATCATATCTAGTTTGATCATTTGCATCCACCCACCCATCCAACCATCCATCCATTCATCCAACCAACCAACCAACCATCCATCCATCCAACCACCCATCCATCCATTTCAAGTGCACACGACCAGCCTTGGGTCTTGGTCCCTCTGCACTTTAATCCATTTGTTAGGTCTAAACCGTATTTTCACACATGGCTAGCTACAATTACTGTTTTCGATTTTTGGTGCAGCCAAAAATCAGTGACGAAAACGTAAAAAAAAGTAAACTGCTGGTTCTGATCCAGCAGCACATTTCAGTAAAATGTTCCTTTAAATTAAATCACAAATGAGCTCTAAAGGCCTTGTGTTCGTCCACTGGAGCTCGCTGTTCCCGCAGTGGCGTGACCCACAGTCCGACATTAACAGACACACAAACGCAGCAGGCAGTTTCTGGGTTAACCGGTCAAGCTGTCGTGACCACCTTTACTAGGAGCCGTGTGACTGCTGGTTGATTCACTGCAGCCTACTGCACTGTACTGTACGAAGCTGTTCCCCTGTGTGAGCCCAGTGCTGAAGCATTAGAGGTCTAAAAATACTGAACGTCCCCGACTGCAGTCGTGCCGGGCTGAGTCGGGCTAAGTTAAGACCCAGAGCTCAGTGATACACTGACCTGATTTCACTAATTTGGCTTTTTCTAAATTAGTCAAAGAGGATTGGCCTCAGCGTTCACATGAGGCAACACCGGAGCAAGCTGCAGCGGCAGCACATTTCTGTGATGTACAGTTCTGTCTGTGGGAATCAAAGGTCAAAGGTCATGTTAATAATACAGCAGGGCAACTCGGTGTGCTATTATCTGGTTAGTACGTACTGAGCAATAACATGAGGTTTTTAATGATGATAGTAGTGAAAATAATGATGACGGGACGTTCACATCAAACGCGATAGGAGCCAACTGAGCGGCAACTCTACAAAGACAATCTGTATGTCAGTGTAAATGGAGTGACAACACACGATTTAATAACAGGCGGCGCGACTGGAGGTTCTGATGCAACGCAAATGAAGTCGGAAAATTTTAGCTTTTCAGACGGCATCGTGTCGCGTCATCCAATCATCAACGAGTTTATCCTGACGTCACCTCCCTGAAGTGAAGCAGAAATATGTGCGAATAATAGAGAAAAAGCTTATCATCGCCAGCGTGGGAAGTGACACTGCTATATTTTATCGGGACAAGAATAAAAAGAAGAGATATGGACCATAGTTTCACGACAGCACGGATGAAGCGATTATCCTAAAATGATAAAGCGGCACGATACAGGTTATTTCTAGCTTTCCACGTCTGTCGCCTTTTATACTCGAGTGTTTCATATTCAATAATTCCACCATCCGTCCACTTAAATACCCAGTTGATTGACATGTTGTTATTTACACACACTGCAGGAAAAGTTTTCATTTCAAAGAAGCAACTCCAGCTCAAAACATCTCAACTCTCAGCACGTGTCAGTGGGTGCTTCAACCTCTGGTCAGCAACCCGGCCTGTGTCAGAGCAGCCTACAGCTGACAGTGTGACTGACTGTAGTGTACATACAGACAAACCAGAAGTGGTCTGTTGATCAACAACAACAACAACAGTCAAACGTCTTGAAGTAGATTTTTGTTGAAACACAGGACGGACCATTAAATCTGTGACAACAGTCGTACACGTGAGTGTTGTTGTGATGAACACCAGTGAGTGTGTTGTTGTGATGAACACCAGTGAGTGTGTTGTTGTTGTGGTGAGAGTCAGACACGCGGCTCTTCAGAGACCGCCGCGTCTTTCATGTGGCTGCCGGCGTGTGAGATGGAAGACTGATCAGATGTTTCTGAAACGGGGATTTGAGCTTCGTTTCTTCAAGCAGATGGTGTTGTACACACACAAACACACACACGAGGTAAGTCAAAAAGTTTCAAGACATGTAAGTTAAAAAACAAAACAACTTGATTCTACAAAGTACCATCCTGCGTCTGTCCGTCTCCTCCACTTCAGTCCCATCAGAGAATTCCAGAGGAGGTCTCCGACGCCAGGTCAGAACCAGGTTCCTTGTCTCGTCAAAGGACTGAAATCCTGTTCCTTCTCGATGTTGACTCAGTTTTGGGGAAATACAAACCTGAACACCTAAAGGAAAAAAAAAGAAAAATCTGCTGAAATCTGTCTTAAAACTTTTCGACCAACAGATGGATGAAAAAGACCTACATCATGATTCATCTGTAGAATCTGCTGATTAAACTGAGAGAGAAAAAAACTCTTTAACATCAGTGGAAAATGTGTGACATCTGATAAAGACTTAAAAACATTTACAGTGGATCAATGGGGTTAGGTTTTTTGACAATATATATACATATATCATTTATATTTCTATATTTCCCTGAAACCTTTCTGGTCTCATCTCTCTGTGGATTGTCTACTGCACCAGGAGACGGAGGCATTTATGTCTCTTGTTGTCGAGCTGTCTGCGTCACTTTTCAGGATTTACTGTTGTGGTTTTTTTCTTTGCTTTCTGTGTGTGTGTGTGTGTGTGTGTGACATCTGAAGGTGTGTCAATGCCTGCGGCAAACCGGCAGACCCTGCAGAGAGAGAGAAAGACTGAGCCCTGTTTGTTGACAGTGCAGGCTTTTTATGTATGCATATATATGTATGTGTGTGTGTGTGTGTGTGTGTGGGTGGGTGTGAAGCAGTCAATAAATAATGAACAAGTCATGCAATGTCAAAGACCAGATCTCTCTATTCCACTAATGCATGCATATATAACTGACGTCCAGGGTCAAAGGTCAAATTCCATCTACAGTATTAAAGTAAATATATGAACTGAGTGTAAACAAACAAACACCAGGAAATCACAGGCTGAAATGTTAGATTTGAACACGTTTTTTTTTTCCTACCTTTTCTCTCTCTGTGTCACACTCAGGGCCCACGTCCATTTATGTGGCCCAGAACAAACAGTAGGTATCATTAACTGGTGGCCTACGGGCCAAATCTGGCCCAAAAAAAATGGCCAGTCCGGCCACGACTGGATCTAACAAAATAAGATTTGACAAAACTGAGATTTTTGTTTCATTTTATTTTGAGTGTCCGGCCCGCTGGGAGCAGTGGGTAATTTAAAGGTAACTGAATGATAATTCCTTAAGCTGTGGTTGAAGGGCAGGTACACAGTTTGACCTCCAGGGGCAGCGGTCGAGTGTCCGACCCAGTGGGAGCAGGGAGAGCAGGTTTGACACACAGTTTGACCTCCAGGGGCAGCGGTTGACAGAGGAGGCTGCTACAACAGAGAAACACTTAGCATTCCCAAACACACTCCAAACACACACACACACAGAGATCATTAGTAATTATGCTAACAGATCTTTGATGTAGATCAAAGCAAGTTGGCACCAGTTTGGTCACATTAACCACAGCCATGTTTTATTCATGTCATATATTCTACACAGTGTAATATGGTAATCAGACGGGTGCGGAGAACGTACTTGATTATAATCCCAACACGTGTAATGTTGCTTACACAATGACGCCACTGTCATCAGACCTGAAGACCATTCATATTAATCAGATGTAATGCACTGTTGAATCTTTAACAGAGAACAGTGGAACCAGAGTGGAACCAGAGTGGAACCAGAGTGGAACCATCTGACAGAACACGGCGGGGAACGCCCGTCGTCGTCACACTGACAGTCAGTCTGCTGATGCTGACTCAGGTTTACAACACCTGCAAGTCACTGCAGGCTTCAGGAAAAAGTCATTAAGACTTCATTTGTCACTGTCACACTGTCATCATCCACAGGAACCAATCACAAGCCTCGAACCACCAACAGACCAGTCTGCAGGTTTACAGAGATATTTGGTTTAAAAAAATCAATACAAAATGAGTAAGCAGGCCGTCCTGTTTCCTTCTAAGGTGATCCACGCCCCAGTGTATCAGTGTGTGTTCTATTGCATCACGTTAGAACTGGAAGAGAACAGAATGAATTTATTTACAGAAACTTCTGTTGTTGTCAATCGGCAACAAGGAAATATTTAAACTTCTTTGATTTACAGAGAGTAAAAAAATACCTTTTTCAAAGGTTTGTAGAATAGGTGTACGTAATTCACAAGAGACTGTAGAATAGGTGTACGTAATTCACAAGAAGACATATATGTATATGTATATGTATACATATGTATGTATATACACAAACAACACCCCCCAGCAGCAGACGATGCCAAATCCCTGAAGAGACTCCTGATGTGGCAACCCTGTCTTCATGTGGTCCAGGTGTCGCTGCAGTCACAGAGGAGGCTGTGCCCCCCAGAAGGGTAAGTCCAGGGAAACCAGAGGATCAATAAGACATTAAAGATGACTCTGGAGGTGAAGACTCTCCTCCTCCTCCTCATTCTCTCTGTCTGCACCCACATCTATACTCACTGCTGCCTTCAGGGGTCGCCCAAAGCAGATCATCTGCCCCCATCACTCCAGCTCCTCTACAATTACACCAACCTCACATTACATCTCATGAATCATCTGCTCCTACTCCAACTCCTTCAGCTCCATCTTGTTTATGTCTCCCCCCCCCCCCCCCCCCCCTGGCTGCAGGTGGTGCAGTAGAGCAGCAGAGTCCGACTGCTACGACTGGTTCTCCTGATTATCGTAAAAAAATAAAATGAAAGTGAGAACCCTGTCACTGTGATAACCACCGTGGGGCAGTTATGCTCAGACCTTTGCCCCTGCTGCGTTTGGTGATTATAATAATTGATTAGAAAAACTCACTGTGGTTTGTAAATAACAACCTCAGCATAAAAAGGTCGGGGGCTCACACCAAGTATTTAACCCTTCACAGAATATAGATGTGACTGCTGTCAGGTCCAATCACAGCCAGGTTCTTCACACACCTGGTTAACGATCCTGTTAAACTGCCGCCTTTACGTTACCATGGAAACAGTTGCACTGCAAGAGAGTAACAGCTTCTGGGAAATCACTCAATTTCTCACATGTGCAATCCAACGTTTTGGCTTTTGTTTTGGTAAGTTAAGTTGCGTATGCCATTCTGACAGCTATGGTAAACCGACAGGACAACGGACAGCTAACAACAATACAACCCTTTGCATGTCAAAAACCAATAACAACACTGCAACTTGGATTATCTACCGATATCGATCCGATACCTTCTTCTTCTGTTGTGAGCTGCTGAAGTGATAGTGTTCGGGGTACAGCTTGTTTTTTAGACACATTTTCAGATTTTGGTAGATTTGAAAAACATCTACTTGGTCTAGACAGTGAACAAAAACATGACACAGTAAATTTTCTGGTAACACCTTTGCCTAAATGTCCACATTTTTCTCTGTTTCAAACATTTGAATAAAGCCAGACTCCCAGAGCAGCTCTGAGATCGGGGCCTGTTCTGTTCACTGTTCGCCAAATGCATTACTGTGGTGTTTTACATCTGTCCACGCGAGCAGCTTATTGTTCACATGGGTCCAGCGGGCCATCGCCATCCAAGCCCAGTCACCGTCTGCCAGAAACGCATGCCATTTCTGAACCACTCTACTGATGGGCCCAATGACGGGGGGGGGGAGTCATTAAAATGGGAACAGCAGCACCGCTGCTCTCACTTGGCCTGAATGTGAATCATGTGCTTGGATTTGAAGATGTGGACACACACACACACACACTCACACACACGCACACTCCATGTTTCAAAGGGTCAGACTTTGCCTGTTGTTTGTGCTTTCATTGTTTTTGGGTTTTTTTTTGCATTTCTGAAAATGCAGACCAAAGGCTGTGGGTTCAACCCTGAAATTGCAGACCAAAGGCTGTGGGTTCAACCCGTGGTAGTCGGCACTGCAGACTCTCAGCTATTGCCTCAGAAAGGCACTCCCTCTGCAGCCTGCACGACACATCCGTTCTTTTCAGGCCCAGAGAGGATCTGGCAGGCGTCCAAGCGTCGCTGAGTGAGTTAGCAGCTGAATACGTGCATGTACTTTTGTGAAGGAACGTTAGAGCACTCTTCAAAAGCTGTGCTTTTTAAATGCCCTGCAGACTCTCCTTCAACCCTCTGACCATTTCACTGGGAAGTACAGGAACACAGTAGAATTGGCATGGTATGACATACAATTCCCAGTCTTATCAGCGGGGCTGAACCCTATCGCGCGGCCCCAGCTGCCGCTCTGAGCCGTGCCTCAGATTGTCTCACTCCAATGCATAGGAACCAAACTTACAAACCCTCAACTCACCACACTGAAGACTCTTTGACTCCTGGTTTCCTCAGCATGAATGAAAATGTGTCTCATGTTGTCGTTCAGTAACAGGAGTTCACCTCAGACCTTCACACCGTCCAGAACATCCTCACTGGAATGACAGGATTCAAAAAGTAAGACCTGGAAATGTTGCTCACATCCTCAATGACAAACAGAAAGACCAACAGTTTCGCCTTCGACGTCTCACTCTGACGGATGTTGTGCTATTAGCTCGGCTCACAGCAGCTAAGTGTCTCATAATTCTAAATACAGGTCGGTGTGTGTTAAGGTTAGTGTAAAGTGAGACACCTGGGACAAGGTGTAAAGAGGCCCAGAGGTCCTGTCCCAGAGACTGAGGGCAGGAAGACCTGAGTGCTTGTTTAAGCAACTTTCCAGGGTGCTATAAACGGAGCTGGTTCTGTGCCATCTCCTTGAATTATGGTTCAGACCTTCCTGTTGTATCTGTGGCTATTCATCTATCCTGTTAACCACCAGCCTTTTAGTTTTTATTGGCTACTTCATATCAATTATCTTCTTCATCTCTCATTGTGGTGGTATGGATGGCAGCGTGCCATTCTGCCCCCGGGGCAGTTTTGTCTGCCTAAGGAGAAGAGGACGAGGTCTTTGTGGCCATGCACCGGTCGGGGCGGCAGGAACACCATCAGATAGCTTCTCCATCCGGGGCGGCCCGTTTGTCAGGAACACCATCAGATAGCTTCTCCATTGCAGAGCAAACAGAGAAGGGTCTACCCACTGGACCCGACTGAAAGAACCACATGAATGCAAACAGAGGCCCAGACTGCAGAGTGGACCTCCTCAATGAGGGGTCCTGTTTGATTTAATCCCAGCAACGGTCACTGAACCTCACGCACACACGGATTTCACAGGCATTACGCAGCGCCACTGTTTGCACTGAGGCCGAAACACAAAGCAGAGAGGTAGCCCAGCCGGGGTGCCAAAGGTTTGGATTTTCCCATGATAGCAACCACTCTCCCTGGACGAAGGGTGAGTAACCAGGAAGGAATCCGTCCTCTTTTCAGCGGTCGCTGAAAGGAAAGCCGTGAGTTGTCCTAAAATTTCTGTGTCTAAACGAGGGACGGCCCAGACCGAGCTCCAGACTCTGAAGACGCTGATTCCCTGGTCTCGTTTTTCTATTTGTCCCGCCTCTCTGCCTATTCGCACATTTTCACTGCCAGCATTTCTCTCAAATTAATAACACTTCTCTCTGCACACCTCCCCACAGTGACGACTCCCACACTGCCAGGACACAGGAGCGTTCCTCTGCGCTGTTCTCAGATGGCATTCATTATTTTAGAGCTTTTCTTATCAAGAGACAGATGCTGAAGGCTTCAATAACACCCCCCCCCCCCCCCCCCCCCCCCCCCCCCCGCCAGCTCGCTCGTCTGTTACTGTGTTGTGAATTCATATCAACTATGACTCTTGAATGGGCTCCAGCGTCAGGATTCATCTGAAACACTCGCTGCTCCACTTAAGTCAATTTGACTGTTTTCAGCAGCGACTACCGCGCACAGGAATTTCCCTGAAACTTTGCACTGGTTGCCAGGTGACGGCTTCAGCTACTGTGAGCACGCTGTGTGAATAGAGAGGAGAGACGTGTCAATGTCCTCACCCAATGACCACGAACAACAGACGGCTCTTGTCCAATCTTTTTTAAAAAAGGACAAGAAAAAACACAGCTTCTTCCACAATACATTAAACTCACGTCTATGCAGTAATACTCAACATGTGTTTGCTAATGTTTCCCAAAGTGGGAACGCAGCGACCTAATGACCCCTAACATAAGAACAACCCCTTAAAGTAACAACTCTATCGACAGTTTGTCATTACTGGGAAAAATATGTTTAACTAAAGTTCTGGCAGATGCCACCTGCAGTTGGTTCAATGGAACTGTTTAATGTAAAAAACTGAATCAACTCAGAGAATTATACAGTAATATACATAATACATATAATTTATGTGTGACATGTGACAAATAAAGGCATCTTGAATTTTGGGATTGCTCATGTCCAATACTCCATCAATATCAGATCGATATTGGTCAAAATATCTAAGCCCAAATGCTCAACATAACTTTGCACAACATGCCGTGAACCGGGACACCATCACCTTAGTAACGGCAGCCCGTGGCATGAAGGAGAAGAAAAGAAGGTATCGGATCGATGGATCGATATCAGTGTCATCAGATGGTTGAAGTTACAGAATCAAACGTCATGAAAAAGTTGTATGGAGCCATCCCTAATCACCCGTCATTTATTTGTCATCTTTTTTTGAATAAGCAGAAATGATGAAAATGTGAAACAATTAGGATCAGTAAAATTTCAAAATAAAACATTTTTTAGGCTAACTATTGGAGACTAAAAGGCATATTATTTTGAAATAAAATAAATATTAATAACTGTTTTCTTTATAAATTAAGTATATTATTCATTCTTTCTCTGCAGTCCACTTTGGTCCTGTATTGGTGCAACGACAGGGAGGTGGGGATGCCCGATGTAGGGAATATTAAGGTATACATTTATATATATTTATGCGGTAAATATATGTGTGGTACATGATCATTTTTTTAGCAATTTTTTTGTTTCCTTCCTTCATTGTGGTTTTGGACATTTACAGCCGTGGAGCGTCTTTGTTAGTCTGCGTTCAAGCGTCTCGGTCTAATGCTAACAGCCTTGGCCGCTGCTATTGTATTGTTTTTATACAGTTGGTAAACTGGCCTATTTGGAGCTGGTCTAATCCGCATCATGGTGACTTTTATCCGGACTCCACCTCCTCCTCCAGTGGCTCGTTATTTTCCTTGCTCTCATCTGAAGAGTTTGGATTTACATTAAGAGGCTTAGCAGCGGTAGCGTTTCAGAGCCAAAAGGTCACTTCTGCAAATTGGGTTCATTAATCTCATGGCGTATGGGAGACCCAGTGGGCCATTCTTCACACAGCCACATATTAAACTGGAGAACTGGTCAGAGATTAGACCACAATGAGGACTTTTCAAATGATAAAGAGGAATGTTGAGGCCTGGATTTCCAAAGTCAGATTTCTACTTTCTGTCATATCAAAAGGATAATAGAGAGCCGAGTGATGATGTCACAGATGAGCCTGAGACTGAGTTATGAATATCAACGATGATTACAGTCAGCCATCTCTCTCTCTCTCTCTCTGGTGGACTGTCTGCTCACGTACAGCAGTGAAGAACCTGACTGAGGCTCAGGAGGGACAGAAGGTTCCAGGCCTCTGAAGGAACTGAGTCCAGAGAGAAGGTTTTAGGTTCATATCAAAGCACTGACATATTGGGATTTTTCACTTCATGAAACCACAATACCAATTCCCGGTCAAATATTCCTGGTGTTGGTTCATTTTCTTTTTCTTTTCTTTCTCCTCTAGTGATTCCAAATGTAGAATCACTAGAGAAGAGATGTTCCATTGTTAGTAACCTGGTGTTAAGATGGAGCAGCATTGTCTGTACTGTGATCGCACTTTGACTACAGTTACATTGGTGAAACTGTCTTTACTACAGTTACATTGGTGAAAAAAACTCAATATATCACCATGGTCATAGTATTGCAATATATCATATCGTTACCCTGGTACCTGATACGTATCATAGACAGATTCTTGCCAAAACACACTCCTAGCTCTTACCCACTGCTTTTTACTCTTTCTGTTCCTAAAGTGACATCAAAGCTGCCTTTGATACTGGCAGTATGAGTTGGAACGCAATCTTTTCACCAGAGCAACGATATAAAACTGAAGTGACGCCTGAATAATTACAGATGTTGAGTTTCTATGAAACAGCAGTGTTTCTCCAGTGGTGGGTGAAGAGGTTTTTGGTGTTGTGGAGATAAAGGAGATAAAAGAGAAACTTTACGTGGAATGTAATTCTTGTTGTGCCGCACACAGCGTGATTTCAAAGACTGATCCTCGGCCAATGGTACGGGTTGTTTCTGGTTGGGGGCTCTTTGATCTTGAAAACACATTTCAGACGCTGCTTCACCGCAGCTCTGTAAAGCAGTGTCTGTGACAGGATGTGATTGCTGTTCGTTTTCCTGGAGACACCTCCAGCACTTGTGTTTGACCCGTGTCACTGCTCAGCCCCATTACACACTGGATTGATTCCTCAGCAGAGCAGGGAAGGGAACGGGACTGGAGCCGTTACTGTGTTTACGCACTCACTTTAGTGAACACACACGTGTACTGTCCAGACATCGTACATGCAAATATACGTTTTTCTAGGGATACTTCAATTTGTATTCAGCCTAATATATCAATTTTTGTGTGTCTATATGTATATACTGTAAGTCTATATAAATATATACTCAGACTTTCCTTTTGGGAAGCTCTTTAATTTCCATTAGCCGCCTGCAGGAAAAACTGGATCGAAGTACAAAGTGTTTGTTTGCGACGTTCCTTTCATTTGGAAATAGAAATGGAGTTCTCGCCACAAAGATTTATAAACGCTGAACCCAAAAGTAATGATGCATGTGCTTCTGTTTGATGGTCTCAGGCCAAAACTGCCATTATTCCTCGACTAAAGATCGGGACAATTTTTTTCTATTTTCTTCCTTTATTTTTTTCCACATATACCTAATGCTTCTGCCTTGTATTTATTTTATTTTATTGTATAATGGAAGGCTTTTAGCCGATGAGCACACGGATGTCTGCGTCTACGTCACACACTTCTACGTCCTAATTCTCATCACCTGGAACCTAAACAGTGTGAGGGGCAGAACCAGAGGACGGCTGTGTAAATTAGATCTCAGGCATAATAATAAAGTTAATAAAAATTTAATTTATCCATTTTGTTTTGACAAAACCATCCCTGTGATGTTGTGCATTTCCAGACACCGTTCTGCCCCCGTGATGCTCATGCATTATTCACATCCCATAAATGAATTATCGTCTCCTTCTTCACTCGCCCGTGCTTTTATACTTTCTTCTCTGTTATAGGCGGCCGGAGCTGGTTCACTAACCCAATAAAAATGTACAAAGGTTCCATAGCTATAAAATGACTGTACACGCCAATACTATGAATGGAGTTTTTACTGGGTTTTGGTTTTACTACATTTGTTAGAATAAATATCTTCCCGACAGCAGGGT